GTCTTGACGACCCAAGCAATCCCCCTGGACCTCCTTTAGCCAATTGTCCTTCTCTCGACGACGCAAATGCAAGCCTGGAGAGGCAGTCGGATCTTCTCCTCGAACTTCTAGAGGAAACTGGCTCCTTCCGCCTCAGTCAGGAGAGCATCCCAAATCAGCTCTGGGATGACTCGCCCTTGTCGGACGAGGATGACATCATGGAAACTACGGTGATAAACACAGTAGCAACCATGGTGTCTACTCTGAAGCAAGGAGGGTCCTCCAAAAAAAAAAAACAAAAAGTTAAACGGCGTCCATTGCGGGATTTTGATATTATAAATATTTATTGTTTAGTTTTTTATTTGTATAAACCTAATCGAATATTTGGAAGTGGAGTTTCCGACGACTCCGAGCCCGGAAAGGCTTACATGGCTGGACGCTCCCATAATGTTAATGCTATTGAAATTGGTAGATATTTTGCGAACTAGAACAACAAGATATGGAACAAGTCAAGTTTAGGGGCTCCGTTCGGATCATTTTGAAATGATTACCGTAAGTAGCCCTCCTTGTGCGGATTACAGTGATATACACTTCATGTGGGAAAATGCATACTTCCCGAGATTTTGGCCTTGAAATTTCGGAACATATTTTGTTTTTCTATTACCACCAAGGCAATATGGGTATAATTAAAAGGTTATACCGGGTATTTTTTAAGAGAACTTAAGAATAAGACTTTCACATATGGACAGTCTCATACATGGCTACGCAATATATTCTTCATCTAGTTATATAACACAAACCATAACCTTTAAAATGATACGGCTAATTAAAACAACATACTCTTCGAACTTTCAAGGCCCATATCTCGGGAAGTACGCATTTCTCCCCATATCACTGTAATCAGTTCACCGAGGACTACTTACTGTAAAAATGTCAAAGCGATCCAAGTGGAGGCCCTAAACTAGTCTTAAGCCCAAGATATTTTGGATATTTTGGTACGATTGACCAACCCAAGTCTTCATTCTATAGTATCTTCATCTGAATCTTCTGCCAGCTATTCATCTTCATTCAAAAGAGAATAAAAAACTGCTTGTCCATTTTTAAATTTCTTATTTGTTTTTTTTTTTTTTTAAGCAAATGTATGTGCGTCTGTGCGTGTGTCCCTTTTGTTGAAGCCCTAACGTTCATATGCTTTATTTCGGGCTGTATATCTCTGGCAATCAAATGTCAAATTCATAATTTACTACATTTACTATTTCGTGCTAGGCCAAATTGGTCTTGCAGAAAATAGGAGAAGAGAACGCCATTTTGGTTTTAACTCTCTTAAATTTAACTTCAATTTTGCCTACTTTTCGGCGTAAGGAAACGCTTTTCTAGCAACAATTGCAAAACTAGTACAATATAGTACTATATTGCAGGTTTGGGAACACAGCTATTGAAATGTATAGATGAGTTCCAAATTAAAAAGGTTGCCATTATTATTTTCTCAAATGAGACTAACTTCTGTAATTACGCCATGTAAACCTTTGTACCTGTGCACGACATAATTACAAAAGTTATTCTCACAGCCTATTTTTGTAAAATTCTAAACGAACGAATTCGAGTGACTTACGACCAAAACTCCTTGGTTTTGAAAAATATGTCATTTATTTTTGTTTTGAATCAAGAAATATTTTTTTACATAAATAAAGGTAGTAATTCGTTCGAATTGTTTCGTTTCGAATTTTACAAAAACAGGCTGTCATTTGAGAATTTGATGATGGCAAACCTTTTTGGAACTCATCTGTAAATTTTAAATAGTTTGAAAAATGAATTCCATAAAATTGTATGTATGTCGACATGGTACAATTATAAAAGGTAACAGTAAAACCCAGCTGATTTGATTCCAACGTAATACTAGTGTCAATATGAATGTGACAAATTACGTTTTTAAAAAATCACCCAACAGGAAAATTGGAAACGCATACAATTCGAAATTGTTCTTTATTAAATATCCTCCCGTATTCAATTTAATCAATCTGCTTGGTGGGAAAGTTTGAGGAAGCAAATCTTTCTTCATGGAATAACTCACAATTCCTAGCATTTTCATATGTGTTACACATATAAGTGGCAAGGGCTCCATTATAGGAAAGATGTGGAAGAAATACAAATATAAATTTGATAGATTCAGTTCGTCCTCGGACGGCTCACAAGAAAGACGTGACCTTAAAAATTTTAAATGAGTATTACACGCCCACGGGCTTAAAAATAGATTTTTACAAAATGGCGGTTGTTAAGCGTTCGCTTAACTAACACGTGTGTTTTCAAATACGGATAACCTATAAAGTACGAGTCGTTCAACAGAATCCAAACAGCTGCGCATGAAATTTTTAATTTTCGTAAATTTAATAACAAAAGAAGATGCTTTTCGCAACTATGTGACTCCTTCACAGTAGAAGAGTTCACTGATACACAAGGCTTAGAAAGTCTGAACATTGTTAGAACATCTTAAAGAAGATCGAAGTCAACCTGAAAAACATAAACCACCATCTATGGATAAAGTCAAATTCCTAGCTTAAGCTACATATGGAGACATGGCTCTGAACATTCTAATACCAAATAGGACGTGAGCCAAGGAGGAGAGGAGTTAATTGGAAAAAAAAATTGATAGATTTTCATCCATGTTTTTCAATTTTATTTTGAGGATTCGAAAATATTAAATTTTCACAATAAATATAATTTGTTGATAATTTATTTGTTTGTTTTCATTTTTCTGCCACTTCCATGTGGTTGTTGTATCGTTTGTTGTACAACCACACTTGCTGTTACCTTCTATTATTATACCATGCCCTTGATTAAAGCTATTAAAAGGTTAAAAATGGTGGTTAAAAAAGGTTAAAAATTAAACGGCAATCCTTCAAAATCAAAAGCCTAAAGACAATCTGATGTTGGCATTGCTTGTCACCTTTTTTTCGTTTAAAAACTTTATAAAGAAAGCGTCATTTTTTGAGTTATCTCAAATTTGTTTAATAGATTTACTAGATTTGTGAGCATAGGAACGGGTTTCGAGAAAAAAAAAACAATGTAAAAGTAGTAGATTCTTAGGAGGGAAATTAAATATTTCGAAAAAATTAACTCATAAAATATGTTTGTTTTTATAAATACAGACCAAACGCGGTGGACATTTCAAGAAGAAGTATTGACAACACTGATGTCTCTCCTATATATTCTCTTTTATTTCATTTCATTTTACTCTCTTTCATTCTTATATAGGAAGCAACAAGTTTTCAAGCTCACCACCCACATTCATAATTTTTGATATATTGATTGTCGTCTCCCCTATTTTCTGCACATTGGAATTGTTGAGGGGTGTTTTTCTTTTTTGAGGGTATAAACTGGATGTCATCTTACTTTATCCGACAAGTGGTTGTATGTACAGCAATGTGCGAAACAAAAGCACTAACTAAATAATATAAAATGAAGGAAGGAAATATATACAAGGTAAATCACAAATTGTACTAGCCGGTGTTTGTATAAAGGTTTTAAATTCTGTTCCTAGGTTGGCTTTGTCGGTAAGCGGTCTTATATCATATCGGATGGAAACTAATTTTAAAATTTCCAAAGCCTGGCATATGTTCAAAAAGAAAGAAAGGAACTAAGTTACACTATATACAAACTTCATGGCACAACTGTACAATGTAGTTTTCTTTCGTCAACAAAGAGAAAATACACCTCTACGTTGTGGGCTATAATGACAATGTATATATATATATATATATATCAAGTGTGAATGGAATTCCAGGTTTTGCTTTCAAAATCGAGTTGGGAATATGATTTACATATTGATGTATTCACATATCATAGATATATCCTTGCCAATGTGGTAAAATTCATATTTAAACAAATGGATTTTATAATATATGTATTTGTTTATATTTTTCAAAACTGTTTACAAAGAGAACTCCATTTTTTATTGTGCTCTCTTAAATTTGATTCAATGTTTTACCAGTTTTGTGGGTTCAGGCATGAGTTTCGAGTAAAAAGTTGCAAAACTTGTAAAATTAGTAGATTCTTTTTGGTTTGGAACTTTGTCTCAAATTTGGCCTTTCTCTCTTTCAAAACATTCCAACAACCTTACAAAAGATCCTCGCATCAAATGCATTCTTAACTTATATTTCCTTTTTTATATTGTCCTTTTTCGGGGTAATTTTCCTGCAAAGCATCGTAGCATGGCATAACTATACAAGGTAGTCTCATGCAGTCATATCGCTCATTTGCTGCAAGAAAATCGATTTTGCAGAAAATGCGTTTTAAGTTTTAAATTTACTCACACTTTATATGGGACAGAGGAACTTCTACAGCTTACATGTCTGGCTCACGTATGAACTAGGATTATTGACATCGGAAATTTGAAACATTTTTTTTGGAAAATTTCAAATTGTGTGCATTCCAATTTTCCTCTTGGGTGATTTTTAAAAACATAATTCGTCAAATTCATATTGACACTAGTATTACGTTGGAATCAAATCAGCTGGGATTTGTTGTTACCTTTCATAATTGTACCATGAGAGTACGTTTAGATTTTCGACATTTAAAATCGATTGGATTTAGTTGTCTAAACGCGGACTTATTGTGAACTGATTTCCATTATGAAAACGTAAACCTATTTGGTCTGTTCCCGTACCGTAAGAATCGACTACTTTTTACTACGATAACGAATTTTCCTTTATAATATCGAAGAAAATAGTAAAAGCTGGTAGATTCTTTCAGTGCGGGAACAGACAAATGATTGATAGATCTGGTTCACTGGTCTCAAAACTTTTCGCATTATTTTGGGCTCTGAGAGCGGTTTGACACTTTTCCCTATTACTAGGTTTACTATTAAAAAGTAAATCGAATAAAAACCAAATAAATCGATTAGTCAAATATCGACTTAGCTTTCCCTAATGATTTTTTTGTAAACAAACCGACAACAACGTGATAGCTTTTGCTGTTTTCTCTCAAATGAATCAACATTTTCGCAATTCTATTGTGAGGAGAAGATGTTGTCGAATTTAATTGTAACAACCCAACGACTTGTTGTTATTCTTGGTAAGCTCAACAAGTTATTTGTCCTCACATTAATAGTTAATATCACGCTTCTCGAATTTCCCATTTTAGATGATATAGGTCAAGAGAACATTTCACAGAAATTTCTTACACAACTGCTCAAAGAACAAGGAGAAGATGGTTTTATAAAAACATTTCCCTTGAATGGCCAATCGGACGCCATCAATTCTCTGCAGAAATTTCTAGCCGAAAGTTGTAACGGAAAATTATCAGAATGCAAGAAGTGGAATATTATTTTACCAAACCTTTCCGATTGGTTGGCATATCAAAAACCCTGTGAGGTTTTCGGCTGCCTTAATAAATTGAAGAAGAACGAGAATACAAAGCGAACGTTACTGTGGATATCGAAACAACATTTGAACGATGAGCATGGATTATTTTTAATCGCTGCCTGTGAATATATGGCAGATATTGTTTTGAATTTACACACAGATAAAGAACTGACGATTCTAACAAGAAAATCGGGTGGCGGTGTTACAAATAACCGTTATACATATACCAAAACGAAGAATGAATTTATGGTCCAATTGAAAAAACCGGAAGCGGTGTCAAAGAACGTCTGTGGCACGGAAACGGATGGCGAAAAGAAGGAGCAAATTGGAACATTTAAAATTGAATTGGATGAAGAGGAAATGATGGCGCGTAATGCAATGAAAATGCCCTATGAAAAGTATGTATATGCTTTCTTTTCGAAATTTACAAATAATATAATTACCAGAGAGAAAAGTAGGATATATTGTGACAAGAAGTCATTTTCATAAATTCAAAATTACCCAAGAAATAGAGCTCTAAAAGTAATTTAGTTGGGATCTTCTCAAATCTCATTTAATGTTCGATAAACATTAAAGATGAAGATTTGAAATTGGTTAGGTTTTGTGGTTACAAATAAGCAACATTCCACTCGAAGAACTTTAGTCCATGGTGATCATCTAGAGAATTTGTGTTAGTTATTGTTAACACCAGTAAATTCCTATATAGGTTATTATTTCTGTTGTTTTAAAGCAATTCACTTAATTTGAAGGCCTTATCTTCTTTATTTTTTCATCCATATTGTCGTATTTCAATAAGAACATTGTGCAGAAATTTAATATATATCCAAAAACTAGAAAAGCGATAGTTCCGATTTCAGCATTTTGGAAAACGTATTTTGCGGTTCTGCTTCTAGCTATTCAAAATGTGTTCCAGCTGGTTATCTCGGAACGACTTAATATTCTTATAATTATTATTCCTTGGTATTCATTAGGTGCTCCAGTTGGTCTTCTCTGAATAAGTTAATATTTTTCTAATTATCATTCTTTATTTTTTACAGGGCTTTGGAAGCTACTGAAAGTAATATTATATATACTCCGGATGCTGCCGATGACTTTGATGATGAAGATCCCGATGAAGATTTAAATATTTAATCCACTCAGCAATTGAAATTTATAGTTGTAATTATTTAGAACTTTAGTCAGATATATAGATTGTAATAAATTATATATTTTTTTATAAGAAAATGTTTTATTGCCAAAAAATGAACAACGAAACCACATTTCTTAGAAGTTAACTAGGATTTCAATACCGGAAGAAGAAAACATATTCAAAATACACATTTTTTCCCATCTAATATTCTTTGATATAAACCGAAACGATTAAGTATATATTTTATTCAAATGCGAAGCAAATTGAATAATGGATTGAGTTTCGTTTCCACAACTTATGTCCATACACATATTTTCATCTTCTATCCCAAAAACTACCGAGTATTATTAAGGAAAAACATTAATTTTCATATTATAAAAACATCAAATCTTTTGTCTTTTTTTATTTAAGCAAAAATAATCATTTTCATAAAGAATATTCACATAATTTCACTAATCTAAAATTATCATATACAACGTCGTATTAATCTTTTGAAGCAGCCACAAAATTCCCATAATCTCTTCTAACGTTCATTGGTGGTTGTGGCGGATATGGTTGGTCTCTTTCTCGACGATAACTTGGTTGCGAATGATCCCGCGACTCATAGCCATTCTGATAACGTCCTCCTCCACCGCGTCCACCTCTTCTGTGTCTAAAATTACGATGATGACCACCGCCACGATCTCCAGAACCTCTCCAACCTCTATGACTGCGATTACCACCACCACCGCGATGTTGATTGTGATTGCGATTACCACCGCCATCACCACCACCAAATTGCCAATTGTCTACAACCGGTGGATCGGGTAATGGCTTTGAACAATGCTCCATAAATTCAGCATCTTCTTCTGAGTAGCGCAAACCAAATTCACGTTCACATTCTTCCAGGAATTCCAAATCTCTGTCGGTTAGACGATTTATTTTACGGTTAGGATCCACCATGTTGTTTCGTGAGCAATAGACTTGGAATCTAATATTAATTTAATTATTTATTAATAGTGTGTTTTTTATTTTATTTATAGAATATAAAGAAAACTAAACGTTTTCAATTTCGGTCGCTTTTTTTCTCGGTCGCTTTTGGACAAACAATATCCAATTCTTCTTTTTATCAAATGTTAATTCACTTAGCATTGATATCACATTATCGATTATCAATAATCAGCTGATATCATAGAATATTTACAAAAGGTGTTTCGTAGTACTAAATTAATCGGTACGTTTAGCTTTGTGAAATCCACTCGACCTCAAATGTCAATTCCATAGCGTATACGTCAAATATAATCCACTGTATTTGTGAACAGGATTAAGGTGATGTATAGGGACTTATGCCCAGTAAACTCGAGTAAAAAGCGGATTTGTTAACTTTTGGTTTTGATTTTTCTAAATTTCAAATACTACGAATAAACTGTAATTTTCACCACATTAATTTTTGTTTTTATCCCTCTTTATGCTTTAATAAATTTTGATCTGAATTTTGTAATTTTCGAGCATTTATGTTTTAAATAAATAAATGAATTTGTGATATGTATGAATAAAATATAAATATATTTGAACATAATCACTCATGGCATAATTACTCTTAATATAGATGAGTTCTTCACTGCTCTGGGGTATCTTCTTCACCGAGACTATTTCAGTTCAAATTTATAAAAATCTAAAAATTTTAAAATAAAAATTTTATGAGGCTTCAAAGCAAAAAGTGTTCGTAGGTGCATCCCCTCCTCTCCCCAAGCCTATGAAATTTATGTTTGGAGTCAATCTGTTTAGCAGTCTAAAGGCGCACACAAAACCGCATTTACATATAATATAATATCAGGGTTTATGGTGTTTTTACACGATATGTATTTTACATATGAGCTGACACTTATTTCATCCATATGCAATTCCTTTTGTGTGTCAAAATTAGCGGCTAACTCAAAATTTTATATTTTGTGTTCAAATCGGCATATGTATTTTACTTATGACATAATCTATAAATAAAAAACACCTTTATTTTTTCTTAAATCAACATCATTTTTTTATTAAACACCAACAACTTTTTCATCATTTTCTTTGACTTGCAATTGAAATTTTTTCTTCCAACAATGTGTTTCATTCAAACAGCCGATTTCCTTATGTTTCACATACGAAAATTGAGCGCGTTCTATTCGGAAAAAGTACATATGTAATTGCATATCGCTGTTGTAAAATTCATCTTCAAATAAATCGATTTTCGAATATATTTTGTTAAATTGTTCAAAACATTGCATACACAGTCACACATTTTGTATATGACTTTAGCATAACATGCCACAGTACGAAACAAATTGTAATTTACAAGTTGTTATGGCCTACCTTGAACAATTGTACCATGAGTTCAAGTATGTATTTCAATACAATGTCATGCATGCACTTAACTGTCCGGTGTCATGTAAACGAAGTGTAAGTGTTGTAAGTGTAATCACATTTCCCATCACTGTTCACTGCACAATTATCTTATTCTATTTTCACTTCACCCCATTCGTAAACATGATGTGTTTTGCTCCCATTTCCTTTCCAATTATTCGTAACAAGACGTGCTATCACCGATTTCTCTCTTACAATTTTCGTTATGGTGACCAGTTTCAATCGCTCATTCCAGTGAATCGTTCAATTGAACTAGTACATTCGTTCGTTACCTACATACTTATCTTCTTAGAAAATAAATAAAGTATTTGCGATAAAATGAATAATAATATATTAAATATTGGATAAGAAGAAGATAACCACACTTCCCTAAATCCGATCCGCATTAAATTATCCGGCCGCACATTGTTCTCTGTGTTTTTTCGTTCTTTTACATTTTTCCATTTATTGTTGACTGTGCTACTGTTCGTTCTCGTTTCTGTTTGTGCAATATTAAGTGTGAGCATTCATTTTTCTTAATCAACTCCTCCGCTCCGGTCATGATAATTCTTAATTGTGCATTTTTATTAACAAATAATAAAAAGAGCTGGTACGTCTCATCTCGCTGTTGTTACGGTTGTGAAGTGTGCGCGTGATACGGTCGCGACTAAGGAGAACAATGACCGAAAATCTTGTCTGGCGTCTTGTGTGTCGGTATAAGGTGTTTTTCCTAGTGGGCTTTATTATTTTTGGAATACAAATATTTCTGGCCTACAAATCATTGAGTCTAGGTAACAGTGCGACCAATGATGATGGAGCAACCTACTTGGGTCAATCATCATTGGCGGAAATAAAAGCGAAACCTGCAGCTGGAGCTGATAGTACTGGTGATGATGAAGATTCAGCCAATCCCTCATTGTTGGCGAATAAAAGGCAACAATCTGCCTCATCTTCTTTCTCTTCCAATAATGCCGACTTGAATGGTGATTCTATAGCGACGGCCACATTAATCTCACCCCAACAACTGGGTTTTATACCGCCATGTGATATTATATCAAAAGATGCCATATCAGCCCTGCAACGGGCAAAAACCAAAGACTGTCGCCAACATATCGCTGGCATTGCCTGTGCAATACAATCGGGAAAATTCTATCCGAAAACCTTACCCAGCTATTGTCCAAGCAATCACACCGCCAACACTCTGCTAGGTTGTTTTCGAGATGAAAAGAAGTTTCGTCTTCTTTCGGGCTATTTTGTAAACTTCAAGACATCGAATAGCATAGAGAAATGCCTTCAACTTTGTCTACAATCAGGATTCCCCTATGCTGGGGTCCAATATGGCACGGAATGTTTTTGTGGCAACGATGTACCGCCGGAGTCGTCCAAATTGCCCGATTCTACATGCAATATGAAATGTTCGGGTGATCAACAGGCAATTTGTGGTGGTTATTTTGCCATGAATATATATGAGACCGGAATTGCAAGTAAGTATTTGAAAGAAATAAAATAATGTAAAAATACACTTTAAATTTACTATTCCAGTACATCCTTGTCAGAAAATCTAAGCAAAATATTCAATTGCCGATTTTTACAAGTTCCACCAATTAAAAAAAAAAACAACTTGCAATGTTACATATCACATTTCATTACAATACAAACACATGTGTATATACATACTCACCGAATGCTCTGATTTTAATTGCCGTTGATACGGGCAGCAATTATGTTTATTCAGATTTATAGTTTACAAAACTAAGCAGAATTTTAATACTTTTGTTTGGATATTGTATAACAAAAAAGTTCAATGTCGCATTTCATGACACGCTTAAAGCTTTTTAATTATGTTGGTTACAACAATTTTTGTTATATCCGGATAACTAGTTTATCTGGATACCCTTTTAAATTCTTTACATATAAACATTTCTGTGTCTCAGAGATATTACGTTGAACTTTGACATAGATATGGATATCAGGATGTTCGGAATTGAATTGAGTTTTGTGTCATATCTTGGTTCGAGTAAAGTATTGTGATCTTAATTTTATTTACTTAGTCACATGAAAATTTTGGCAATGATGTAGAATATTTACCAGAAATTGTGTACGTACTACAATGCATGGAATATATGAAATTTAATAGCTTGACGGATCGATTTGTATATCAGTCGACGATGATAAACTTCGAGTAAGCCGGAATGTTACACAGCCATTAGTTGTGTTCGAGATTCGGTTCCCAGAGTTGGGGCTGTCGCGAGCACTTGCTTCCTATTCCCCACTTTTTGTTTATCCATCAACAACTGATAAATTGTAATAACCCTGGATTTGGGTTTTGGCAATTCAGTAGTAGTCGGATTGGCAGGTTTGTTTATTTGCTCAGAGTCCCAGCCATCATCTTTTTGGTTGTGCTCAGAGTACCCACAGTCTTCTTCTCATTTGGAGTGGCTACTTCAAACGTGAGTGGAGTGTTGACTTCAAACATGACGTGGGGATTCTTTCAATTAAGAAGTCACCCGCAATGTCATTCAGATAGTTCCGGGAGAAGTTCTGAATTGAGTCAGAAGGGATTCCTTGTCCGTAAAAGAGTCCCTGTCCCGTTCAGAGACCTTTTTGGTATTGACGCGTTTCCTTTGCTGGTGATGAGGCCATCAGCACCAGCCCCTACTTCAACCACCAGTTGTGTTAGAAATCTAGAGGTTTCGCTACACGCCGTAGAGATTGAGGTGGGATCTTCATCAACGCCCGGGATTGCATCCTTTCTTATGCATAGCGCATTCCTCTGTCTGTCAAGGGTGAGTCATCCCAGAGATGAGACAGGACACTCTTCTGACTACGGCGGAAGGAGCCGGTTTCCTCAATAATGTCAAGGAGAAGGTCCGTATGCCTCTCCATGTTTGATGCGGATTGAAGAAACAGAAGAGTGGTGCGGTACATTGCCGCCATTGGTCGTCATGTTTTATGGAGGTTGATTGGAACTGACCATGTAGAGTTGGAGACTTAGGGTGTCAAGGCAGCCACACCAACATCAGTCGAAGCATAGCATTCCATAACATTTTTATTCCATAGAGTTTTTTTTTTTTTTTTTGAAATGAAGACTCTAGGTCAGCCATGATATAGACTCTTGCAATGGGAAGACAACTAAGCCAGACAAAAAATTGTTGAGGCGCCCAGATATCAAAAAGGTTCCGTTTGACTGTTTATTTATATTCATAGCTACCTAGAAAAAATATTGGACATTCCACTATCCGCATCCTGTGGACGCATCCGTATTAAAGATTCCGTTCATATTTCACTCTTGTTTCTCATTTCATTGCATACAGCAGTAATGAATCTATTAAAATAATGAACGTATGTACACATCACTAATTAAATAAAAACTCATGTGTTCCTCGCCTTATATGCTTGTGCTATATTTATAATTTAATTTCCTCTTACTTTTCAGAGTTTTCTGCTCAAATAGCCGAAGCTGGTGTTCAACGTAATGCAACTAACGAGGATAATATACGAATTGCATTTCTATTAACATTAAATGGACGTGCTCTGCGGCAGGTTCATCGTTTATTGAAATCATTATATGCTACCAGACATGTTTATTACATACACATAGATGAGGTAAGTATAACATACGCGAGGGTGGGTGATTTCCAATATTAAACGAACTTTTCTTTGTAATTATAGCGCCAAGATTATTTGTATCGGAATCTTTTAGAATTGGAGAAGAATTTTACAAATATACGTTTGGCACGTACGCGTTTTTCCACAATATGGGGCGGAGCATCACTACTCACCATGTTAATGCAATGCATGCAGGATCTCCTTAACTCATCACATCAATGGGATTTCGTTATAAACTTAAGTGAAAGTGATTTTCCTGTAAAGAAGCTGGAGAAGTTGGAAGAATTCCTATGGGCCAATCGTAATCGAAATTTCGTCAAGGGTCATGGACGTGAGACGCAAAGATTTATTCAAAAACAAGGCCTGGACAAGACATTTGTCGAGTGCGATACTCATATGTGGCGCATTGGAGACCGTAAACTACCCACAGGCATACAAATAGATGGTGGTTCCGACTGGATCGGTTTATCGAGGCCTTTTGTGCAATATGTTATCGACAACAAAGATACCAACGATTTACTTAAGGGTCTAATGATTATCTTTAGACATACACTGTTGCCAGCGGAATCATTTTTCCACACCGTTCTAAGGAATTCCAAATTTTGTGGTACCTATGTGGATAATAACTTGCACGTGACAAATTGGAAACGTAAATTGGGTTGTAAATGTCAATACAAACATGTGGTAGATTGGTGTGGTTGTAGTCCAAATGACTTTAAACCGGATGATTGGACACGACTACAGAATACGGAAAGTAAAATGCTATTTTTTGCCCGCAAATTTGAACCAATCATCAATCAGGCAATTATATTGAAACTGGAGGAGTGGTTGTATGGCCCATATCCAACAGATGCTGTGAATTTACACAGTTATTGGCAAAGTTTTTACAATGCCGAGGATAAACCCACAAAGCAAGACGACTTAACGTTGACGATAGCCCACAGCTTGGTACGACGTTTGACCCGGCAATGGAATACCAAACAGCATAGAATTTTGGAGCTCACACACTATATGCACAGTGATCAGTATAAAGGATATTTGCTTAGATTCGAATGCATTGATTCCTTGTCAAATAAAACGTACGAATTGGAATCTCGTATACGACCCGTTCAATATGCCAAGTTTGCTAAAAATTCTAAATTTGCTAAACGTCTAAAGAATTTTGAAATTTCCAGTGATTATGACCAAAAGGAACAAGTCTCGAGGAATTATCAAAAGTTTTTAGGTCCATATACGGAGTTGGTATTGACGTTTACATTTGTGGGCTCTGCATCCAATTCGCCAAAGGACACTTCACATTCCTATAACTTGACATTGTTGTGGATTGATCCCATGGGACGGTTACAGGACTTTAACGAGCTTCATATTGAAGATTCACAAACAGACAATATAAATTATTCAAAGGCCATTTTAAAACAACCCTTATGCCCTGGAATATGGACGGTGAAGTTAATTGGCCGGTCGGCCATTTATGCTCAAACAAAATTTCTGGTTAGTCCTTTGGCATTTTACAATCATCAGACGATAACGGCAGAAAGGGCACGTCTTATAAATGCTGGTGATGGTTTGACATTGCCTGAAGATTTCTCTCTACCTGAGGAATGGATTCAATATTTACCAGGCCACGAAGAGTCGTTACAATTGAAGAAATTGGCGTTGAGAAATGCTCTGCGTACCGGAGAACAACTAAACGAATGGATAGATGATTTGACAGGAAAATTCCATCATTTTCGAGAAACATGTGCAGTTAATGAAGATGCCACAAAATTGTCGACAGCATCATTAGAAATCTTACCATTATGTCGAGATACATCTTGGAGTACATTGGCTCCAGATCCTAAGAGTGATGTGTTAAAATTAGCAAACGTAAAAAGATGAAACTCATTTGAAATCCTACTCGGAATCTAGTAATTTATTCGAAAAGAGATAAACCAAAAACTTAGCCTGTAAATGATTAATTTTTAACTTTGAATTAAGGCAATTTAATTTTTGTTTAAACAAACGCCAAAAGGTATGCAATATACAAAACATATGTATTGTTTTTAATTTTGTTAATTAAGCAATAACCGTAGATAAAGATTTACAAAATGAACGAACGTATACACAAATGATTTGAACACTAACTTGTTAATAATTTGTTGTTATTTTATAGAAATTTTTATGCAAATCAAAAACGCATTTTTTTACAAGCACAATTTTGATATAAACAATATATATTATTTGTCAATAACTATAAGCAATGAAACGTCATTTCTACACGGCACTACACTTTTTTCTCTTGCTTAAAATGCCATTATTACTACTATTGTGTCATATATACATAGCTATCTGTATACATTTTATTTAATTGTATTGTGCAGCCATAATCATTTATTCTGATATGTGTGATATCTGTTTGTCCATATCTTTAGTTTTTAAAAACGAAAAAACCAGAATATTTTTGCCTTTGCATAAATACACACACACACTATTGTACTTTTTATGTAAATATGTATTTTATATTTTAAGTATTGTCCAGCAAGAAAGGCAGCATTTGCAATTCTATTAAAAAGTATTTAAAAAAATGTTTACCAAATAGGACATCAAATCAATTTATTGTAAATATTAACAAGTAGTTAATCTCAATCTAATTCTTTTAAAACTTAAAATTTCAAACCGAGAATATTTCTTAAATCATTTACTATTACTATAATAATATCACCTATCTACATATTATATTATGTACATTTTCATCAACTTTAACATTTCGCAAAATTTTCATTAATAAATTTCAGAAATTAAAAGCAAATTTGGGATTTTTTCTTTGGCGGGCTAAGATTATTCTATTGATGTTCTATTTTACTTTCGGGATAAGCCAAAGTTACAACTATAAAGAAAACCAGGGAGCCAGGAGGGAGATTGGCCCCGTTTTTTCAATAAATTTAGCTATAATTTTGTATTTTTTTATACAACGCTAACCACAAATTTTCGGTGGAACTTTTAGCACGATTTACAATCAAATTAGGTAGCGAATCTTCAGAAATGTTCAATACTGACCCACTTTCGGTATTTTGGGTATTGTGGACACGTTTTTAACCGAATGGGTTCTGTACGATTACAGGTATTTTTAAGAGCGCACCTCATCGTAGGCGATTTTTTACTTGTTTTTATTGTGTACCTTATTTTTTCGAACCGCTAGTTTCCTTCATTGAAATATATATAATGGTAACGAACATTATAGGACATTTTAATGTTTCTCTGGTATATACGAGGGAAAATTTTTGAATATATTTTTTGGTCGGAGTCAAGTTATTTTTTCAAAAAAATTGTCCCACTCCTCAGCTCCTCAACCACACACAAGCTTAGGCATGGCAAATTCGACCTGGGTCAAGTTTTAGATTTATGCCTGGTGGATTTTTTGCTGTTCATACTATTGTCCATGTCTACTGTCAAAATAAGGCCTTTTGTGGACTTTTCACTACTAATATATATTTCACTAGGAATAAAAAACATGACAAAAAAGGTTGTTTTCATTGTGCTGTTTCTATATTTTGCATATATTTAACATCAAAACTAATCATCGTATCGTATTCTTAAGTGGTAAATAATTGTGCAGCTTTACTCTTCCATCTGAGCTTTTAATAGAGTAAAAAATTGATAGGCAGTTATCATTAGCTGTAAAAAATAAAACCAAACAAACATATTTGTATTAATATTTTTGAATATGCAAACAAAACAATTGTTGTTATATTGAAAACACACACTGGTTTGAATATCAGTTTAAGGAAATTTTATCAAAAACTCACATTGCTAAAACTTTCCATTGAAATGATAAAGAACTTAAATGATGTCAAATATGCTGGCCTCTGAGAACGGGCAATGGCCAATATCAACATACGTTGATAACGAACATCAGTTGAATACCATTCTTGACCAATTAATGATTCGCAAACTCGGGAGCTCTGTAAAGGCGAAGAACGTGCGATTGTTAATAATATATATGTACATACATATGTATTAAAATTTAACATGTTCTTCAAGGAGACGAGGATAAGTGATTCACTTTTCATTCACATTTTCGTCCAGCTAGCTCGTTGTACATATAGTACATACCTTGTCAATTAACCACTGTCCAAATATACAATTATAGAAGACTTGAGTTAAGGATGTAGTAAAAAATCCAATAAATTTTATCATATCCAAATTAAAGACATAATCTTTTGTAATTTGTATTGAACCCATAACGACAAAAACTATGGAGATCATATAGTTCAACAATATGGAAACGCTGAAAACGTCATTTACCGCCTCGGCAATTCTGAAATAACAAATAAAATTAATGAAATCATTAAAATCACAACAATTTATAGATGACACAGTGGTTTAAATTAACCTTCCACAGGGAAAACAGCGTCCAGAAGCGAGTTAAATTATTTCTTGTTAATAAAACATAGTTCAGCCTTATAAACTGTTGGGAAGTATCAGTCGGTATTTCCGACAGATAAAATAAAGGGGAAATCGGCCAATTAAAAAAAAAATAAATAAATAAAAATTACATGTAGCCTTTCAAGACTCAAAAAATTGTATATATGGGAAATTACAAAATTATTTTAAAATTCCTTAAAATAAATTAAATTTTTTTTTGCGAGCACATTCATGATTTTTGGTACATAGGTTAAGAAAAATATGCTGATTCGAAATATGTTCGCGTTCACAAATTCGGATGCTGCGCACAAAAGTTATAGCGATTTTAAATCTTGTATTTCAAATATAAATTAAATTAATTCCTATTTGTTGTAATTCGCAAATTGTCTCACAAATGGTTAAACACATTTGTTTTCTTTGCATACTTGTCAAATCACATTGAATTACGGTTATATTGTCGCGAAAAACAAATAGAAACATGAAGATATCTGAAATAAAATAAATTAATTTTTTTAATTAAATCGAAATTTTTTGAATTTTCGATTTTTTTAGTATGGTTAAGGGAATACGGTTTTGCCTTAATCTTCTAAAATATGCGACGCGTTTTTCTTCAAATTCTTTTAGATTTGTTAAATATCGGTATATTCATCTGATAACAGTTTCGACTGTAAAAATGACTAAATATATATATATATATAATTATCAATATTTAAAAGCAAGCAATTCGCGTATTAGTTGAAAGCAGTTGATGCGCATGCGGTTTTCGTATAAATCGAATCAATGTCATTCAATAATTATGAATTTTTCGATGGTTAATTTAGCGGTCAAAGTGTGCCGCTCGATGCACTTTACTATGCAAAAACCCTAAAATCGGCTAAAAATCACGCAACGTGCATACGATTTTTATGCGCATCCGATTTCAGTAATCTCCTATAAAAATACACAAAAGGAACCTATTTTAAAAGGATCGGTTAAGAACCGCGGATGTGCCTCCACAATCGATTTTGGATAAAATACGCATATTATTCGCGTATCGATATATTTTTGACCTATTTTCACACAGATTCGCGAATATGATAACACAAGAATGAATGTATGTGAAATCAATTCGAAGAAAACGCGATTATATACGTGAATTTGTCAAAATAAGTTTTTGCAGTTTTTCCCACATTCAAGGTACCCATATACGCCGTTTTATAGGGCGGAATTGAACATGGATGGGCTCATTAGATCCGGAACGTAAAAAAAACTAAAATCACGCGGGGTTCCACGGAATTTGAATGGACTTTCTTAATTTTAGACTCAAAAAATATGTTTTTTTATAAAAATTTACGCACCAAATTTTCGTCTTTGGAACCGAATTGCAAAGAAGCTACGATGAGCACATTCATGAGATATACACTAAACGAAGCAAAATCACGAGTTCTACAATCCTATAATTAGTTTAGTCCATTATCAGGATGCGCGTCCTAATTATAAGAAAAATTTAAAAAACACCGAAAATCCGGCTTCAAAATGTCAGCATCCTTTTTGGGTGGATGCAGTGATTATATCGAAAAATCATACATTAGAATCATATTGTCCATGGGGTATTCTGCAACTTAGTCACTGATCACATGTGCGCGCGTTGTGTAGTTTAGCCACAAATCAGGAACGAACACAAAAAAACTCGTTGGCTTCAACCCATTTTTTATTACCACCATCACAGCTTCCACCAAACTTATTATTTATTGCCAATATTTTAAGATTTTGAAAAGAACACTTCATTTTATAGAAATGAATTTAAATTATATGCAATGTGTTCATATTTCGCGAGTTATAACCTTACAAACCTCAGTTTTAAGGAATTTAAAAGATTTTTGTAATTTCCCATCGTGAAATAAGAATATGAATACATTATAATAATCGCGAAAAAGTTGCACATCTTCGCGAAATATGAGAAAAATAATTAAAATATAGTAGATTAAGTCATTATTTTCATTGTATTCATGACATGGATCCACCTAAAAATTAATTTATAAATATATACATGAATTGAGATAGTCCCATGGTTCCCTTTGAGAATATGCATAGAATCACTTTCTGAGTCGATTTATGCATGTCCGTCCATGTATTTTTGTTAACAAAGTACAGGTCGCATTTGTGATCCAATTTGGATAAAATTTGGCACAGTTCACTTATTTGGCCCAAGGACGAACCATATTGAAATTGGATAAAATCGGTTCAGATTTAGATATAGCTCCCATATATAGTTTCGTCCGATTTTTTGTAAATGATGCACCAAACTCCCAATAGTTGTCCGATTGGGACAACATTTTTGATATAGGTCTTATATATTTTTTCGTTCGATTTTATGTAAATGTTGCACCTTACACTAAATTTGGCAGAGGCTATTAAATTGAATTTAGAGTGATAACAAAAAACAAATGTTGTATGCAACGGCTGTGTTTATATATAGCTCCCATACATAATTT